TTTTAAAAAAAAAAAAAAAAAAAAAAAAAAAAAAAAAAAAAAAAAAAAAAAAAAAAAAAGAACAAAAAAGCAAACAGTAGGCTCAAACTACATTTGATATATTTACAGGTACTAATGAAAACAAACTATAGAAAAAGATTTTCAAAGTACATTTTTTTTTTTTTTTTTTTGGTGGCTGTCCAAGAAGGGCAAAGTACAATTTTTAAAAGGCTAATATACTCATTATTATAAACCTGACTTTTATTATATTATTATATTTATTGAAGATTAGGGACCTAGAGAAATGTTCAAGATTAATTTGTCATTTCCAAAGGTGACTCACAAAGCTCCTTTAGTTAGTTGTTTTGCAGCAGGCCTTTTTAGTCCTCCCAAATGGCTATCCACCTAAAGACAAAACACACCGCATATTATTCCCTTTTATAGAAAAGATAAGCAGAATACAGTTACACACAAAGGTCACTATGTTTGAAATGTTTTCAACTACCTATGAAGAGCATATTCTAAGACTGTAGAATGTGCCGTGCTAAAAATAATGTGCCGTGCCATCCATGTAGCGAAGTTGTACTATGTCAAGATTATAGAAAGCTGTACTGTCAGTTCCTTACAACGACTCAGTACTTTAAAGCCTGAATCCTTAACTTCCTCTACAAATGCATCATTATGTTTTTGAAGAAATATATATGTGGGTACCAGTTCCATATACATCCGAAAACTCAGTAGATTCTACTTAATCCATTTTCTCAGTTGTAAATAAGGGAGCAAACACTTTTAAGCTCTTGTTACATACAGTCCAGATGTGTGATATAATAGGGCTTTTTTTTTTTTTGGTGGCTGGCCAGTACAGGGATCCAAACCCATAACCTTGTTGTTATAAGGCAGTGCTCTAACCAACTGAGCTAACCACCAGCTCTGTTCTTCCCTTTTAGACTAAAGGTTTGAATTTTTTTTGGCTAGCTGGTACAGGGACTGAACCCCAGACCTTGGTGTTATCAGCACCATGTTCTACCCAACTGAGCTAACTGGCCAGCTTTAGTGGTTTGAGATTTTTTTAGGTTTAAAAGCCAAACTTGGGTCAAAAGACCATAGGGACTGCCTACTTCATACTCTCTTGGCTGCTACTGCAGAAAATAAAATCTCTTAGCATAACGAAGAATAGATCCACTTTTGATATGATAATGAGTAATATCATTTAATAGTAAACTATGTTTTTTGAATGCTTAGCATATGCTGAATGCTAGTTTATTATTAGTCCACGAGGACATAATGGGTTAATGAAGCTTTGTAAACATGTCAGAAATAGAATAGACACATTCATCCTAGAAACATAAATGTAACAAGGGTTGGCCCACCAAGAAGGTCTTCAAGTGACCACATTTTTGTGGGAACACAGGGGACTGGGCTGATTGTGTACACAACGCTAGACAGCAGCAACAGAACAGATGACACAACTACATTTTCATTCAATTATGCTAAACATTAAGAAGAAGCTATCCAAATAGTTTTGTACCTGCACAGTTGGCGGGCCAGGAGATGATCCGACTACTTTTTCCTGCTGTGGTTGTGCAGTTCCTAAGGATGCCGATAAAACTTTGCTTCCAGAATCCTGTCCTATTAGAATTAATACATAAGACAACGTTTAATGGAAACAGTTAATCAGGTCCATTGTATAACACCTAGAGCCCAATGTATACAGATACTGAACATTCTGAAAGGGATTTCTTTATCAGGGATGCTGCCTGTGAAGAAGCAGAGTAGGGTAGTGCATTTATCTATAAGCTCTTGAGGCAGTGGTTATTAAAGTCTATAAGGGTATTTCAAGAAATTTGTGGAAAAATAGAATTAAAAAGTGATATGAATCTTTCTGTGAACTTTTTGAAGTACCCTTGTATGAAGGAAGGAGGGAAGGAAGTGAGGAAGGAAAAGGAAGGAAGGAAGGAAGGAAGGAAGGAAGGAAGGAAGGAAGGAAAGAAAGAAAAAGAAAAATAGTAATAAACAGAAGCTGTAATAGCTATAGTTTCAAATTATCTATAGTCTGAGAAACAGGCCTCAAGCCAGTAACCTGCCAGTACTACAGAATCCCAAAATACAACTTAAGGAAAGTGGAGACTCAATCAGGGAACTGACTAGCAATAGTCAAGCTTTTGTCTTTTTTAGTACTAATTGAGTAGTGCAGGTGGTCACAGCCTTAGAAAAAATGGAAGACATAGCCCACAATATTTTCAATCTGGGGATGGTGGTGGAGGAATTCTAAATATACACACATAAAGCAACATGAGGATACTCACAAAGTCACATGTGCCATATAATACCAATTTCATTGTTTCTAAGGAGCACATTTTTTCCACATAATTTAATGCCTCATAATCTAATTAGAAGTGCTTTTTTCTTTCGAAGTAGTATATTTTACAATTGATGGTATCTTAGAGTTGATGCAACTTAGTATATTATTTGGGTGGAAAGGATACATAAAAAAGGAATGATCAGAGTGGAGGTGTGGTTAAGTCAGAAAGATTTCATGCAGAATGAGGGAGGAGAGAAGAGTGTCCTCTGGGTGTTGGAAGGACACGGACAAGCTGAGGAGAGCTTACTACAAAGGCTCCTGACCTGGCAGTGCGGTGCTCAACAGCCCAGGGATCTGCGCTGGCCTCAGGCCATCTGTGGTCTTGGAAGTGGAAATGGGGGAAGTCTGATTCAAACTTTTTTTCTGAGCCTGTGAAATGTATTACCAAGATGGAAAAATTAATTTCATTACTAAAAGCTTTAATGGAGTACTTAAAATGCTAACCAAGCCTCTTAATTCCTACCTGGCATTACTTTCAGCTTAGATTACAAAACAAAAGTTTTAAAACATTACTCTCTTATCACATTGGGAGAACAGCAAAGTACTTTCTTTAAAATCCATAGGCTGGTACACTGAATTTTCTTGACACCATTCAGTAGGGATGCTGAGTTGATACCAGACTATTTTCTTGCTCCTGGGATTGCTGTGTTGTGGTGCTTAGATGCAAAGACTGTGGCTGGAAATTCAGTTCCTATCTCTAACAGTTTCTATTTCTGGTAATTTTATATCACACATGCTAGGATTATGATGCTGACTACCAGGTCCTATGTGGGGTCTGCACAGACTCCAAGCACCTGATCAGGGCCCAAGGGCCAACCCCAAAGCTACTGTCAACACTCATTATTTTGCAGTGTAGATGATGTAAAGTACATTTCACCCTTGCTATATGATGGGTCTCTAGTTTGCATCATGTGCCATGTAATCTAGTTTACATCAGGTGGCATGTAATTGGGAAATGTAAATTCAATTTAGTATTAGCCTGAGCAAAATATAATTAGAAAAACTAATCCAATGTTTAAACTATTGTGTCCTTTTCTATAAATGAGAAAGATAAAAGATGTTCAAGAACATCAAGTTCCTTTTAGCTCTAAAATAAAAAGTTATCTCCACAATGCATTTTAAGTAAGATGATAAAAAACTTCTATATTACCCTCAATTTTTATTCCTCTCTGCCATTACTACTTCATAGTGCAGTAAGTTTTCAGAGACTTTTCTTCAGTTTTACATCATTTATATTATCAGTGTACTTAAGAGTTTAGTCTAACCATCCCCACAGGGGACTTAAACTACGACCTTGGCCTAAGCAAAATGTTCCCCCCACACATTCATGGGTGGGCACTCACACAGACCTTGGAAATGCCTGACCACTGGCAAACTAACTCATGTTAACATTTCTGTTCTAAACAATTAAATGTTCCCCCCACACATTCATGGGTGGGCACTCACACAGACCTTGGAAATGCCTGACCACCGGCAAACTAACTCATGTTAACATTTCTGTTCTAAACAATTATCTATTTGGTTCTCTTTTCTACAATAAAAATGGAAAGGAATTTGATATCATCCAAGAAACACTGGAGAAGGTCATCAAAGACTTGAAAATGGTCACTTTTCTCACTCTTCCATTGGCAGGGAAGGGCCCTCAAGGCTGTGTAGCAAACCTTTCTTTCCCCTAGTCAGCTCCTTCAAATGCTATTTCATTATCTTCAAACCTATCCGCCAGATGAGAACTCATTCAACTTTTTGCCACCAAAGCTACAATCCTACCTGCATCCCCACATTCACCTTCCCCCCCTTTTCTTGTTGCAAAAGAAACACTGGAGAAGGTCATCAAAGACTTGAAAATGGTCACTTTTCTCACTCTTCCATTGGCAGGGAAGGGCCCTCAAGGCTGTGTAGCAAACCTTTCTTTCCCCTAGTCAGCTCCTTCGAATGCTATTTCATTATCTTCAAACCTATCCGCCAGATGAGAACTCATTCAACTTTTTGCCACCCAAGCTACAATCCTACCTGCATCCCCACATTCACCTTCCCCCCCTTTTCTTGTTGCATTGGAAGAGGTGTCCCACCTTCTGTCTACAAGAAATCCTACCAACGCTGTGTAATGCATGTCCTACTTCCCATCAGCTTTTTAAAAAGCACAAGTTTTTCCCATCTTAAAAAAATAATTTCCTTGGCCCCACACATCCTCATGACTATCACCCCATCAGTTACCTTCATTTTTCTGAAAGCCATCTATGCTCGTTACCACACCTCAAACCCTCTCCTCAGTCTACTGCAGTCTGGCTTCTGCATGTACCATTCCACAGAGACAAGTCTTGCCACGGCCACAGCAGCATCCTACTTGCTCAATCTATCAGAAGCATCCCAGTCCCTTTCTCCATTTCTTGGTGGTGCTTCACTCTGGGGACCTTTTCCTTCCCACCTGCAACAGTCTCTGTTCTTAGCCTCCCAGACGCTCAACCCTGCTGGTTTTATTCCTCCCTTCTTGAGCCTTCTCACTGTCACCTGTGGACTCCTCTTTCCTTGTCCATCCCCTAAATGTTGAAGTGTTTTGGGGTTCTCTTTTGGCTGTCTTCTCTATCTACACAGTGTCCCTGGTCCATCTTATCCACTCCCACTGTTTCAATTACAATTTATATGCTGGTCAATCTCATTTCAGCCTATATTTGTCCTAAGCTTCAGCATATATAGCTGCTCTGTTTGTCACACAGCTTGGTTATCCTACAGGTACCTCAGACTTGACAAACACACCCTAAACTAAACTCAGTAACTTCCCTTCAAACTGACTTCTCTGCTCATTTCTCTATTCAGTGAACCTGGGTGTCACTGGCAGGAGCCTGTGAATCATCCTTGCTCCTTGCTATGGCTAATCAATCACAATTTTTGTCTAACCCAATTGTCTTGGAGTGAACGGGACTGAAGCCATGCTGGGACCTAAAACTGCATGAGCTAGAAGAAAATTTTTTAAAACACAGTTTTTTTCTTAGTATGCATCCCTCTGAGTTCCCTCTTCTCCCTTGGCTACTTGATATTTTGAACCTTGGTTACAGGGCATAATGACATTATTTACATAAATGTAAAGCAGTTTTCTAGTCAGCCTGGAGCTGCAGACTTGTCATGAGACACATACTATCCAGACCCTGAGAAACCAAAAGAGACACCAATAAATCTATGCTAGTTGCACTCTGAAGCAAATCAAAATCCTGCAGGATCCTAAGATAACATCAAGGATGAGAAGAGAAGCCAGATGGAGCCCTAATGGGAATGTGCACCTGGCCCCTTACATGTAGCCCCCGCAGATCATATCTCTTCAACCTCCTCTTTAAAACCCCCTCAGTAGGGATGGCCAATTAGCTCAGTTGGTTAGAGCACAGTCTTATAACACCAAGGTCATGGGTTCAGATCCCTGTACCAGCCAGCTGCCAAAATAATAAAAATAAAATAAAATAAAGACTCCTCAGTAAACCTGAGTCTATGAGGTGGTTTTAATCTGCCCATCACCTTCAGGCTTACCAGGGAGATGGGTTAGCCGAACATCTCCTTCCAGTTGCCAGCATTCCTGAATGAAGCTGACTTCCCGTCTTGACCAACATTTGACTTCTGAATCATTTGCTTTCATTTGGTGGCAGACAGCTGGATTTGGGTTCAGTAATGGTCTCAAGTCCACTCACTTCTCACCATCTCTCCTGCCTTAAGTCTAGAGTGGGTCTTCACTATTACAGGCTTGGATTACAACACAGGTTCTTAACATGACATTTAGAACCTGTATGATTTGGTCCCTGCCCACCTTTCCCACCTAACATCTTCCTCACCTCACCTGAACTTGTCTTTCTTTGCCCACAGCACCCCGGTCTCTTTTCTCTCTAGGTTTTGCACTTGCTGTTTCCAACTCCTGGAACATTCTTCACCCAGATCCTTCTGCCTGGATAATTTCTCCTTCTCCCTTAGTAGGTCTCAGCTCAGAAAGCACTATCTCAAGGGAATCTTCCCTGACCATCCTGTCTGGGTTAGAGGTTCCTCTTCCGGGCATGGCACTCTGGACTACTATTTATCTTTTTTTTGAAAGATGACTGGTAAGGGGATCTTAACCCTTGACCTGGTGTTGTCAGCACCACGCTCTCCCAAGTGAGCTAACCAGCCATCCCTATACAGGGATCCGAACCCATGGCCTTGGTGTTATCAGCACCACACTCTCCCAATTGAGCCACAGGCTGGCCCTCACTCTGGACTACTTCTGCCAGTGCACTTAAAATATTGTGCTATGGCTGTTGGCTTATCTGTCTGCCTGAATTAGATTGTCATACCCCTGAGATTGGCAAGTGGGAGGTACTCAAATACTGTTGAATGAATGAATCAGTGAAGAAAACATTTAACACAGTAAGTAGTTTAATGTACCTAGTGGGTAGTACAAACAAAAAGGTTAACAAATAGCAGAGAAAAGATCAGAGGAGGGACTGAAAAAGGCTTCATTCTTTTGGGGGCTTTGGGTAGGGCCTTGAAAGAAAGAATATAGATAGGACAGGAATGAATAACCATAAACAAAGGCCTGAACTCACAATGAGCCTGGCCTGTTCAGGGAACAATGGGGGGCCTGCCTTGCTAAGTGGAGGATTTCTGACTGGAGAACCTCAACTGCCAGGTCAGGAGTTTGTACTTTCTCCTATAGGAATAGGAAGTTCCAAGATGACTTGGTTCAGGCCACCAAGCAAATGTTTTAGGATAATTAATGTCGTGGAAATCTGCTTTCAGGAAGAGGCCAAAGGCAGATTAATCACCTAGACAATTGCTGCAGTTGTCTAATAGGAGATATTAAGATTGGAATGGGCTTTGGAAATCATCTAGCCCGGTAGTTCTCTATCCTGGCTGCTCTTTAGAACCACTTGGGGAGCTTCTGAAAAATGCTGATGCCTAAAGCTCTTTCTGCAGACTGTTTAAATCAGAATTTATGGGGGTGAGGCTCTGGCATTCATATTTTCTAAAAGCACCCCAGGTGATTCTTTTTTTTTTTTTTTTTTTTTTTGCGGCTGGCCAGTACGGGGATTCGTACCCATGATCTTGGTGTTATATGGCTGTGCTCTAACCAACTCAGCTAACAGGCCAGCCCTCCCTGGATGATTCTACTGCATAGCTAGAGTTCCTCATTTCAGAGAAGAGAAAACTAGGGCTCAGAGAGTTTAAGAAACAAGCTTAGATCACAAAACCACCCAGTGGCAGAGTCAGGCCTACCCTAAGACTCAGCTCTGACTCCTGATCCAACTCCTGTTTTTCCATGATATTTCAGTCCCTCTTAAAGTCTACCTTAGGGTATTATAGGGGATTGAATTATGTCCCTCCCAAAATTCATTCAAGCTTGAATTGTGTCCCCC